ACACATAGTGTGACATAGAACGAAGTACACGGAACATACCCTGAAAGTACACGGAACAAAGTACACATAAAAGAAAGTACACATAGAACATACCCTGAAAGTACATATAGAACAAAGTAGCCTACATAAAAGAAAGTACACATAGAACATACCCTGAAAGTACATATAGAACAAAGTAGCCTACATTAAAAAAATACACATAGAACGTACCCTGAAAGTACTTAGAACAAAGTACAATACGTACATAAAACATACCCTGGAAGTGCAAGTTCAAAGAACATACACTGAAAGTACATAGAACTAGAGACAAAGTACATAGATCTAGAACGTGCACTGAAACTGAAAGTACATCGTATAACATAGAACATGACATACCCTGAAAGTACATATAGAAGTAGAAGTTAGAACATAGTAATAGTGCACATACATTTAAAGTACATGGAACATACCCTGGGAGTAGGACTACTGGTACACAGAACATACACTGAAAGTACAAAGAACAAAGTACGTGTTCATTGAATAATTTGAAAGTACATAGAACATGTACATTGAAAGTGCATGAAGCATACGGTACCCTAGAAGTACAATACTGTACATAGAACTGTCCCCGTCGTTTTACGCACACACAAAATTCTGAAATTACGCAAACTGAGCCCAAAAATGTGAAATTATGCGATTCTGGTAATTTTAACAAAGAATGCTAAAGGAAAATAATCAGAAATTATGCAAATAATGATCAAGTTTTGCTAAATTATGCGGGGTGTATAAAACCTCGGGGACAAATAGAAGAACATGCACTGAAAGTACAAAGAACAAAGTAGGCCTACTTTGAAAGTAGATAAAATATATGCACTGAATGTGAAAGTACGTAGAACAAAGTATACTTTGAAAGCACATGGAACGTACCCTGGAAGTACATATAGAACATAAACTGAACGCATATATATATATATATATATATATATATATATATATATATATATTGAAAAGAACAAAGTATATTGAAAGTACAAAGAACATGCACTGAAAGTACATAGAATAAAGTACAATCTTTGAAAGTACATGTATGTATATGGAACATACACTGAAACTGAAAATTAAATACATTGTGGAGTTGATTCCTTGTTATTATAGTGAGCATTGGAATTTCTGGAAATAAAATAACAGATAGATCTAGTTGAAAATGTGAGCATAATAATGGTGAAAATTAAATGGTAATGTATAGGTGAGACAGCAAGGTGGAATCAGGCTCTCGTCAATTTTTGGACATGTAGAGTTATTGGTATCATCTTTAAAGCTTGTTCACTTGTCTTTATTTGGGTGAAAAATATCCATTTATCTTGAATACAAGTCGAGATATTTACAAACGAAGGAGGTGGGGGTCGCTTGTTTTCAGATGCAAAAATTAGTGAGAAAATGGCCCCTAAAGATTAGTTATTTCCTTAGCTTAAGAGTCCGTGGTAACTGAAAATTTACTTATTTTTTTCCCCTTTAACTTTGAGCAACGCTTTTCAGAAAAATTCACACAGAATTGAGTTCTCTAGTGGGCATGAAAGGTGTTGACCCAAAAAACCAAAAATGATAAAAAATTCACAAACCTGTGGAAAAATGCAGATTTCTTCACTTTGATTATTTTGACGAGAGCCTATTTACAACACCACGCTGCCTCACGAATTTTAGGTTTAAGTTTAGCGCCTCTGTCGACACTATTAGTATTAGGTCGTTTAAGAGGCGGGACCTCCGAGTTTAACGTCCTTCTCCGAAAGGACAGAACAAAATGGACACACCGTCGGACCGACCTGAGGCTCGAACCCCTGAACCCGCAACCTCACGATTAGGAATCCGGTAGCCTAACCACTGGGCTACCCACACCAAAAATATGAGCATGTATATATAAAATATCATGTATGTGTATACATAAGTTCAAAGTCACGGATTACCTATTAGGATCTCCCCTCGCCCTTTTCCACCCCACCCCACCCCCACCTTTCTTTCTCCCACCCTCCTTTATACCTGTGAAAAGTCAATGAATGTTATGATTACCAAAAGTCATGGTTTGGGAGACATTCTCAACGACATCATTAAATGATAGGGTTATTAACAACAAAAGTGAGAGAGATATTTTTCACAAGGACATCATCCAATGTTTGGTTTGTGTTTGTGAGTCCTGTTGTTGCACTGGCCAGTCAAGGACATCATCAAATCGTGGCTCATTTGTTCAGCTAGTTAGATAACGCAGTTTAAAACTGTAGGGCTAACCCCGG